GCCTTATTTCATTTAAGGTGATGAAGGACTGGTAGTTGAATTTCCACATATTGATAGGAGTATAGGTGATGTTTTCCGTTGAATTTCACATAGATTTGCTTTCCCAAAAGCTGTTATGATCCAAGGTTGACTGCAGTTTCGACCTCACATAGGTCTTATCAACACCCAGTCTACTCTGGATGAGAAAACTTTTTGGGAAGCAAGACTATGTGAAATTCAATAAAAAAAATCAGCTATACTCATATTATTTTGGGAAAATTCAACTACCAGTCCTTCATCCCCTTAAACGAAATAGAGTGAACACAACTAATATCATTAGGCTAACCAAAACGTGTCTTTGTTTATACTAATAAAACATTATGGAACTAATGCTCAAAATCTTTCATGGGGATTTTTCTGAATATCATAAGTCAATAAGGTTGCATTTTTCTTCACTAATCTATTTACATTTATACCGGGACAGATATTTTAAGATTTTCTTCAGATGCGGATTCTCAAATAGTAATAAGTTTTAATATTGATATAATCATACTTTTCCAAATTCTGAAGCACTTGTGTCTCTTTAGAAGACTTATTTCAGTAAGCGCTCTGCTCCATTGGTTATTTATTTTGTAAACTTATTATTATGGATCTTAAGTTTGTGAAAATGCTGGAATAAATCGTGATTTCTTGACATTTGTAAGCCGATTTCACGGTCCCGTTCGTTACCAAATAAGCCATCCTTACTATCAACTTTAAAGCCGCTTTGATCACTATTTAATAACATCACAATTATTCACTTATTCAAAGATTTCGTACTTCAAAGTTACATTAATCAATCTCACTAATTCTTTTAGTATAAATGCCTACTAAATCATCACTATTTCGTTATCCATTCTTTAGAAGAGGCAAGATCAACCATCAGCGAGACCTGGTCAACAGATGTTTTGGCTTCGGATTCTGAATATAATGATTCTGTTCAAGAGTCTTCTTCCCTGGGCTACCGTGGTTTTTCATCGGAAGCAGGCATTGCAGCTGGCGCGACCTACTCATTGGCACCAAATCATAGTCGCCATAGGCCTACAACCTTCCATCAACGAGAGTCACGCCGACATCAGCGTCAGCCTCTATTCACAAACGAATCCGGTAATCGCTCCACTGGCGGCAGTGATAGACTAAAGGCAGATAAAAATGTCGATGGGGAAGACAACGTGGATGCCTCCGGTGAAAGTCACCATGTCTGTCCGAGAGATGCTAACCAACTTCCCAATTGTTATGCACCATCGGATCAGCATGTCCGGCGACGTTATTATCAAACTTACCTTCGACATCGAGATACTCCCTCAGCTCCTTCATATCATCAGCATAGACACCGTTATTTTCATGAGCAACAGCAATCACAGCAGGATGCTAATGACAAGACTAAACGTGTGGATAATCGGTTAGATTCTGTGGCTTCACATGTACAAATCCAATCTGTTTCATTGAAGGAGTCCTCATATCGGTTTCTGGCCACCGCCTCGGACTCGTATGCTGGTGCTGCAGCTGTTGCTTCTTTGAAAGCTGCCGAACTTGGGATTTTAGATAAAAGTATTAGACAGCCTCAAGAACTAGCCGATTCTAGCGCCAAAGAAACAAATTCTTCACTTTCGTCTCTATCGGTCCTTCCTCAAGTATGCTAATTTTGTCCCAAAATATTTTATATATGCTTGTTACTTTATATTCCATCCACCAATCCTTTGCTATCAATGATATTTTTCAAAGGCAAGTTTGATTATCTAACTGACTCTTATTACTATACCCTAATTTATTGTTCCCTTAGTAGTGGAAAATGAATATGATTTTAAAGGTTATTAGCAGTGTTTTATCTAAGTGTGTATCCGTATTTTTTGCCTACATAAAGACAATCAGGTCATCTGGCAAATAAAGTAATTTTTTTCAGCAAGATTACTATCTCTATTTTAGTCGATACGAAGAGAAACTTGGTTTCGATGAATCTCCTAAGATAACATTGTTAGGGGGTGAATATTCATTCTCCATAAAATCTTTTTTGATTTCAAGAATTCTCTCAAAGTAGCTTTTTAATACAGATTTTTCTTATGATAATTCCTGCATTTACTCATTTACACCAATACCCACCTCATCGGAACATTCGTTGCCACTACATTTGGCCTATGCCCACAAATAATTCAAATCGGTACCTCATGTTAGGCTTCCAATGTACTTTCTCCCGAGCTGTCATCAGACCTCTAGTACTATGGCTAGCAGCAATTTGATTCAGAGCGAATGTAAAACTTTGTATAACGAGCATTTCATCAGACTTCATCCCTCTAAGATAAAGGAGGGCTAATGGTGCAGCTTAGATCTTCATTTATATACTAGACATGTTGGTTAGCTATCCTTGTATATTCGGATCATTTTCATATAATCGGACTTTCCAAACATCCCCCTGATCCCTGATTAAATTATCTGGAATAAATCAACACATTACTTTCATATAGCTCGAACTATTTAATGCAAGTAGTCCTGCTTGGCTGCATCTCCACGCCTCATCACAATTTTCTTATCCATTGAAAGTTTTAACTTTTGTCTTTTGGAGGATTTGAAAGCCTAGCCTATATTGTCATATCTCTTCAGAGACAGTTCTCCATCTCTCCTCGTTTGATCGCCTGGGACAAACTGACTAGTGATACGGTCAGTTCCTTCATGGAGTCGCACCTCAACAAAACTGGCATGTTCTGCCAGAGATACAAGGCTATACCAGCAACTTTCTCCTTTCAGGCTCATTCGCTTCTGCTTTCACGTGTATTCACTAACTTCGCTAAATACTATACTATACTGCACTACAGATGCTCCCTTCTATATTCTTTAATATGTACATCTTTCATACCCCTAAATCTTATTTCACCTGATGTTTTTATGTTCATTTTTTTGGCATAGTACCTAAGCTAGCGCCTTTTGTTTGGGTGTGATGCACCAGAATCAGTTAACACTTGCATGACTATATTAATCCGCGGAGGTTAGCTCTCCTATCATAAAAAAACAGGTTATATATATCAACTATCAATCCTTCATCGCCTAAACGAAAGAGTTAAATCATCTCATATACTTGATTTATTGGCAGTCTCGAAAAGCTACTTACAAACGAAAAATAAGTAATGTAGCCGATTGCTATATCAAATATAACTTTGCTTCATCGACAATCACACCACAGAATGTGATATGGAAAAATTCCTGGCCTTCCTTGAAATGCACATTTACCTTCTAACTCAAGGGTACTCGTTGCAATGTGGCTTAGTGGTTAATGTGTCGGGATTATGTGCTTCATTGCTATGGTCCGAGTTCCACTGGGGGCGAGGCCAAAACTGCAGAACACTCTGAATGAGAATACCTTTGGGAAGCAAGGCTATGCAAAATTCAATGGAAGCATTAGGTCTAATAATATAATTATAGGAAAATTCAACTACCAGTCATTCATCACCTCACACGAAATAAGCTGGGCACATCTAACCTACATATCAATGTTGGAGTACCTTTCATTTCGTTTGAAGAGGCGAATGAAAAGGATTTGTACCCTTAGGCAAATTGAGATCTATCAATAATATAAAACCTAGGAGCAACCCTACGGAAAAGACAATTTCAAAAACGAATATGGTTAACTTGCCCAGCCAGTGTTTTCTTCGTCTTAGTCTAAAGTGATGATTCTCGGAAACATTGGTATCCGTATGTACTACGTAGGTATGCTGAAAAACTGGGTTTCGAAGAATCCATTAATAGATTGATGTTGGAATACTTTTCATTTCGTTTTAAGAGGCTAGTGGAAGGGATTCGTAAATTGGTCTCACCGGAAGCTGTAGGGCGGTTGCCTTGGGGTTATTAGTGTAGATTTGTGCGAATAGGTCCTCGACGTAGAAATCTGCATTCACAACTCTAAGACAATTATCCTACAACTTCTCATGGAACCGACTTAAGAACCCCTTACTCTCCTCTTCAAACGAAATGGAAGGTACTACAACATCAATATATTGAGGGAGTCTTCGAAATCCAGTTTTTCAGG